ATTAATTAATATATAAAATATATGTATAAGGAAAAAAAGAATTTTCTAAGATTAATTAAATTCAGGGATTCTCCTGTTCCTTATATAAGATCCAACAAGGTGGCAGAGATGAGACGCATAGAAAAATTTTCCTAAAAAAAATTCTCACTGGTTCTGAAAAGTACGCAGTTTTGTTCCCTGATCTACACACATAGCAATATTAGTACTATTGTTTAGCAGGTAAGTATAAAACAACGTCTGATGGAGGAGTGGATATTCCTTGCATAGAGAGTACTTTCGCAAGAGTTTGGGAGCAAGAGAGAGAGTTTGAGACCAAAAATTGCATTGATTAGTGCTATCTTAAATGGCTGTGAAAAATCCTGGGGGAAGCAGGTCGCACGGTGATTTTGCCACTAGTACGCCTTACTACTGGCAGAGAGGCGATTCTGAGGTCAATTGTTTAGCAGAGACTACGATTTCACTGACCGTTTGGAAATCAAATGAGTCAATAAGAAGGCCAGGGAAAGTGAACCGGGTGAGTCAATACTGGAGGTATTAACGATTGGCCATAATCTGAGAAATAAGGTTTATCTAGTGAGTCAGAAAGCTTATTATTATGAGAGAGATCGACCCGGTACTAGAAGAGGATAAGGCTGTTGAATGATTCAATCTCCAGGTGAGTCAATTGTAGTTCATGATCGGTTGCAGTTTCTTTGTATGCAGCAATATTGTAGATGGATGTAGATGAATGTAGAGCATTTGAACCTAGGCAGCAATATTGTACACGATTTTGGACGATATGCAATGTTGTCAATGACTGGATGTAGGACTTTTGGACGAAGAAATACATGGTTGGAAGATATGGAGTTTCACTGACAGACTACAAAATAGAAGCGACATAGGACTATTTATATTGGAAAAGTGGTGGTCAAAGAAGCCGGTCAAGTTTAAGGTAACAAACCGGCTCTAAAAAAATGTATCTACCTAATTGGGATATATATAAGAATAACTAAGAGATGAGACGTAGTAAATAGCATGTGCCATGCCTACTTAGCGTTTGCCTTCGGTCTTTGCAGGAGCATTTGTGGTGTATGATTTTCTGAAAAGATCCTGGCCGGCACTCGAGCTTTCAAAACTCGATCTGGTAGTTGAGGTAGACGATCTTCTTCTTTGGTTACGAGCAAATTGGGGGTCGATCTTCTTGTTGGATTTTGATGATGCAAACAAACCCAAGATGTCAGTCAATGTCACAACACCTACCAACTTACCTGGCATTCCACCTGTCTCACCACCTGGAGGAATACTCTGTACATTACCAGGTGTAGAAACCAGTTGATTTAATGTACTCTCGATTGTAGATGGCGATGCCTTCGGTGATTGGGTGACAGATTTTGAATTGGAGTTGGAATTAGAACTTGAGTTCGAACTCACGGACCCATGGTGAACCGAGCTTCTGTTCTCAACGATCCATAATCTATGAGATTTGGTGGCGACTAACTTTGCAATGACCCTACCTAAAGATGACTGATTGTTAACATGGAAAATAGGGAATTGATCTTGACCCTCTTCAATACCTTTTTGAGTCAAATTGTAACCAATGAATCCCAACACTGATTTGAATAATAAGTGTGAATTTTTAGAGCTGGTAACGTTCTTCACATCGACAATTGAAATGTTTCCGATTAATGTCATGGTCCTATCAACCACTGCTAACGACGTAACTCTCTCTGTGAACATCTTCAATAACGCTTCAATCAATAGTTGATCTTCATAGATCGTAATTGGATTATTTGATCCAATTTTCAAGTCTTGCAAGGTTGAATTTATATAGAAATCCAATGAGGGAAATCTCCGGGCATTTTCCCACATGTATTTAATCAATCTTCTCTGCGATAAAATACCGGTAATCTTGGTTCCAGTCATATTAGTTATAGCAACTCTGTGTACACCATTACCTAAAGATTCCATCGCCTTGTATAAGGTGTCTTGTTCGCTGAATTTAACAAATGGATTCTTTGGATGTAACTTGACAATAAAGTCCACTGGAACCTCTTCACCCCTCTTGGCCTTACTTATGGTTTTTGCAATCATTTCTTGTCTCTCCTCCTGCGATAATTCAGGGTCACCAATGTCATGGATCGACAAGTCATTCACATTGACTTTGTTCATGATTAACAAAAGATAGGTGTTCAAATCGCTGTAATCGAACGTCAAACAGTTAGTAAGGTCAGTGGAGTCCGTCTTTGATAACGACACTGGCACACTGGTCAATTTATGCTCCACCAACGTTTCAAACGCCTTCTGCACCGAAAACCCCGAGTTGATCGAAATTAACTTATTCGACTCTGTCAACTCCACTAACGGAATTTCTGCCCAGTCTATACCCCCAATTGACCCCTTGGATATTCCTCCGTTCACATTACCATATATTGACGACGCCCTCGAACTCACAGAAGTATTTCTGCTCAAACTAAACGAATGGATGTCCTCCTGGTCTGGAGTATTAGGAAGCGGTGGCGGAGAACTTAACATCTCCACAATTGATGGCTTTCTGGATGGAACATGATGGCCTGGTGTCTGTGGGTGTGGATTATTTGATTGATTACTGATACTATTAGAATGGCCGCCGGCGTTACTATTGTAAATTGGCGTATGCTGTTGTAAGGGTGACCCAGGATTTTGCCTCTGGAACGAGAATGAATTGGACATTATATATAACTATCACCTATTTTAATTCAATTGGGTTTAAGTTCCTGATATTCTGAAATATTCGAATAAAGAATCAAAATGAAGTACTAAGATATTTGATAAAATATGATCAATACTACGATATACGATAAATGGGGTATGACCTGATATTGCTATTGAAAAATCTGGTACTCGCGTAAACCCTGGGGGTTTTGTGTCACTTCTTGTGGAGATGGCATTAGTATTAGCATTAGACGATGAAGCTTTGACACATGGTGACGAACATATAAGAATCTGGAGAATATACATGCCGGAGGTCGTCAGATAGACTATTTTGAGACTTGTGGGGCCAATTGGTTCCAATTGTGGGCTCCAGTTGTGGAAATATGGTCTTGAAACAATACGTGAGAGATGCGGTCCGGGGGGTTAAAGGCTACTAACAGGGTACTAATAGGCGACCATAGGCTGCCAATAGGCTACAACTGAGAGAGAACAGAATATATGACCCTGGCTGGTCAGAGAAACTACGTGGCCAAGTTGGTGAGAATTGGCTTTTAGTGGTCGCTTTTGGTCATCATTTAGTCAAGTCGCATGAGTAGGGAAGGTATAGTTTAACAGATATAAGACATTACGCAGTGCGAACAAGGCCGCATCGATCCCACAAAATTGGTACAAAGCCAATATGGTCTGTGGTACCGATATTACGACACATTTGAGGTCGGAGTCCGTGGCAAGTCCGGCCATCTGCTATGTGTTACTAGTTGTAAAAATAGATTGGACTGCGGACTACATGCGCTTGAATCTGGCAAGCTGTCTTTAGGTTAGGTTGCCTTGTCTATTTCTCTGAATTCTCTGCTGCTGTATGGTGATTATCCTATGCACGGTTTATTTGCCGTCCGGTACTTCTTAAATCCGCACCCATACACCAAATCCACACACCGGGCTCTGCGTTTTTGGTCCTGTCACCCAACGATTCACTAATGTCCATACGATCTCACACGCCATCTTTTGGATTGCTGTCTCTATCGCCCTGACAATCGTAGGTTGTGCGCCTCTTTGAGTAATTTGGCTACACATCTGGTGACCTAAATATGCATCTCTCTGGGCACCTATCTCTTCAGATGCTCTATCAGACGTATATCTGGTGACCGTCGAGATCCGCTTTTCCGTACCCAACTAAAAGAATCGATGGGATACTCACAACCAATCTTCGCATCCATACACCTATGTTAATCTACACCCATACATCATGTTGGCCCGGGTTGCCCCTATTCGTACGTTGTACGCATTTCTACTCTTTGGTCGCTTTATCACTACCAACTATATCACTTCAGCTTCTCATGCCCATGATACACTGACATATTACTACTACATGTCTTCTATATATTTTCAACCTTTCTAGGTTCATACCCAGTCTATTACCTAAGCACCTTCTGTCCCCTAATCAATACGTAATCTGCCTCTGTTCACGGCCGTTGCTCGCCTATAAAGATGGCCTTTTTCCACGACCTCATCTAACCCAACAAAATAGGCAATAAATTACCGTTTCTGTTTCTGTTGGCTTTATATATATAGATTGAGTATCATATTCTAAAAATTCGTCTCTTTGTATTCACTTTAGCTAGTTGGTTTAAGATATATTTTAACATAATATATCGTACTTAGAACTCAAGCCATTAGTAAACATGTTAGATCAAGTTGAAGTTGCAGACGTTACGTCGCTTAATGCTTTAGCAGCAGGTACTAATAAAAAAAATCCAAGAATTGTCGCAGCCGGTTTAGGTGGACGTTTAATGGGTACCAAATCATTAGTGGATGTTACTGCAGATCAAATTACCCAAGACTCTGAAATGTCATTGGCAGAAAAGGATAGAAGAGATAGAGAGAAGTACTCCAAGATCACCCATATCTCCGATCAACCATGGACATGGTCAAATTGGTCTGAACATATTAACTGGTTAAATTTGATTTTGGTGGTCCTTGTGCCTACCATTGGGTTTGTGTGTGCATTAAGATCTCCACCACAACTCAAGACCGCGGTGATGGGATTTGTACTCTATATTTTGTCGGGTTTATCAATCACGGCAGGATACCACAGATTGTATTCCCACAAGGCGTACGATGCAGCAACACCAGTTAGACTTTTTTTCGCTTTCTTTGGTGCGGGTGCGGTTGAAGGTTCTATTAAATGGTGGGGCCACTCACACAGAGTTCACCACAGATACACTGATACCCCTAGAGATCCGTATGATGCCAGACAAGGGTTATGGTACTCACACATGGGATGGTTATTGGTCAAGGCCAACCCTAAGAACAGAGCCAGAGCTGATATTTCCGATTTGACTAGTGACTGGGTTGTTAACTTTCAACACCGTCACTACCTTGTTATCATGATCTTCATGGCCCTCGTGCTTCCAACTTTGATTGCTGGTTTAGGATGGGGTGACTACTATGGTGGCTTCATTTATGGAGGTATCATTAGATCATTCTTCATTCAACAGGCTACTTTTGCTATCAATTCATTAGCGCACTGGATTGGAAGTCAACCATTCGACGATAGAAGAACCCCAAGAGATAACGTTATTACTGCATTGGTTACCTTTGGTGAAGGTTACCACAACTTCCACCACGAATTTCCATCGGATTACCGTAATGCGTTAAACTGGTACCAATACGACCCAACCAAGATCACTATCTGGATTTTGTCCAAATTAGGATTGGCTTGGGGCTTAAAGACTTTCTCACAAAATGCTATTGAACAAGGTTTAGTTCAACAGCAACAAAAGAAATTGGACAAAATGAAGTCCAAATTGGAATGGGGTTCTAAGCTTAATGACTTGCCTATCATGGATAAAGAAGAATTTACTGCTAGAGCTAAGAAGGATGGTTTGATTCTTATTTCTGGTATTGTTCACGACGTTAAGCAATTCATCAAGCAACATCCTGGTGGTCAAGCATTGATTAGAGTCTCTTTAGGTAAGGATGCCACTAAGGCCTTCAATGGTATGGTCTACGCCCATTCTAATGCTGCCCACAATATGTTGGCGAACATGAGAATCGCCATTCTTAAGGACTATGCCGTTAACGGTAATACCTTCGATCTCCAACAAGAATACCTTGATAAAGAAAAGGTTAATTGATTGGGTTGTTTTCGAAGACTTATTTATTTCTCTAGATAGACATTAGATTGTCGCGAGTATTTTTATTTATGATTTATAATTACATGGTTTATAAAGAATAACATATTGGGTATAGTAATATCTTGATGTAAGAGAATCAGAACGAAACATTCACGAGTATACATTTACTTTATTATTTTCAAATAGAGTCAGTAGTTTGTGCAAACTAGCTATTAATAGTATTGTACATTGTATAATAATCGTTCCATACCACCTTATGCTTTTTTTAGTTCTAAAATCAGCAATGTATTCTTTCACACAACTAAAAAATCAGCTCATAGGTGATGCAAATTACAAAAATGGTCCTATGCAACGGGCAGCTCCAGAAAATGAGGTGATTTAAAAAGTCACCTCACCGCGAAAATAAGGTGATACTCATTTATTGAATGACTTGGTATCACCTCATTTTTTGCACCCATCCTAAAGCGTAGGTGTATATAAATCTCATAGGATTCAATGCTTCTATCTGTTTTCCCTTTCCTCATCAGTTATATATTCAAATATCTATCTTATACAATAAAAGCATTTTCAATAATCGCAATAATTAACAATGTCAGCAATTGCTAAGTTACCAAGAACCCAATTTAAATCCTTATACGCTAAAAGAATACCTATTGTTTTAACTTGGGCTGGTGGTTTGGGGGTTTTGTTAGGATGGCCACATGCTGTATACTATTTTTCAAATAAATCACACCATGTTCCACAGACTAATAAATTCTTATTTTAAGTCTACATTGAATCTTCAACCTACAACTGCATTAACAATAAACTTTTATTTTATTTTATTTTAATGAATGCCGCTGGAGGCCTATACACTTGGTTATATTTTATTTATACAAGTAGTTCACGAATACATATTTATTTCTTGTTTTATAATTTTTTGTAATTTTTGCAACTTTTAGGATAGGATTGTGAGAAATTAAAAAGATTTCAAAGCACATTTAATATTGAAGCAAAACTTGAATCATTTATATCCTTTTGATGCAACTAAAAACTATTATTTGTATTGTATTGAATAGTATAGTTATCACTGGTATTAACATATCCTCATATTTTGCTTTTAAATGATGTAGCCACCGATCTACGAAACTCCTTCGTCAAGAAGTCATATATACTACGAATTAGAGTAAAAGACTTCACTTATAGTATACATATCCCTTCTATATTAGAAGTATGCATTGTATATAAGAAGGTAAAAGTATTCGTTCATTTATGGCAAAAAATGTAATGCATTCCAATCTCACTAAAAAGTCGTGATATTTTTCCACGATCGATTCTAAGGGATAATAGACTTAAATCAGAATCAAGACAAAATGTCCAAACCGTTTCAATCCATAAATGATGTTATCAACACAACATCTAAGCATAAACAACAGTCATTCAATGAATTATATGGAGAGCCTGAAAACTTTTTAGAAATTGAGGTACGTAAATTATAAGGTCCCTTATCGAATTGCATTGAAAAGTAGATTACTAACATGTCAGGTACGAAACCCACAAACGCATTATGGAAAAGAGCTTTTCACAGATTATGAAATTATATGTCGAGTAAGTATGAGTTGAAATATCCAAATTCTTAAAACAATTATTAACGTCTAGACCAATATACCAGCATTCAGAAAACGAACCAGTAGAGTACGGAGAAGATATTCCGACTTTGTCATATTTAGAAAGCTTTTGGAACAAGAAACTACTAGAGTCATAATACCACCATTACCAGGAAAGATTTTGCTTAATTCTAATAAATTCAATGACCTTAACATTGAGAAAAGAAGACAGGGTTTAGAAAAATTTCTCTCGATCGTCAGTGGACACCCATTACTTCAGACAGGGTCTAAAACATTAATTGAATTCATTCAATCCGACAGATGGGAACCAAGAGGTTATTACTAGTTGGTTTATCCTCGAGGGTATTAAATTTCATTATTAACGTTCATTGTGACTTAAGTATATTATAAATGCAGAGTAGATAGTCATAGAGGTCATTTAAATGTATAATTTGATTACGAAATAATCCTACTAAGAATATTGTTGAAGGAATAAGCTTCGGTTTAGCGTAGGTTACATGCTTTCTTATCTTCATTCTGACATATTATTCCGAAAAATTACTTGTATCATCTAATAGCAATTGAGTGGTCAAAAGATACAGGAATAGCATGCAAGAATTGCTTTTATCCAACGTTTATTATCGGATAAATACAAGGAATTGTCTGGGGTTGGAGAAAGTCACTGTCTGATCATAACCGAATGCATATATCGGCTATTTATGATATTAGGTTAAAAGGTATCATACTAAAGTTTAGAGCCATGTTGCTACCGTTGGAAGCGACTTGCTTTTATACTCGCTGCAGAAATTATATGAAATACGATGATCTGCAATCTGTCAGGACGTAAAAATGTTGAAGAATGCGGAAACTAATCTACTTTATCGTCTTGATTAGTCTATTTCTTGTTAGAATCAGCCAAGAATAGATTATCGATTATTACAACTGTTCTTTTAATGGTTAATTCAGATCCAATTTACTTATCTACGAAGTATTTATATGTGTAAGAATTTGACTTCGGAATTATTGTTAATACTAGAATATTTTATGCTAGGACATTTTGTTCTGTGCAATTTATGTCATTTATGTATATAGCTTTTACCTTTATTAACCCCGTGAATATATGATTTACCACTTCTACTCGTGACAAAGCAACATATGAGTATCTAAATAAAAAAGAAAAACCTTGATAGTCTTGCAAGTCCACTAGGGTAAATTTTAAGAGTATAAATATCGGAAGTCTTATTGACTTATTTTTACTACACTTACATGAACCCTTAATTATCTAATTAGAAGAAATATTCTAGCATTTGATGAGTATTCTATGATATGGGACGAGTCGTTGATAATTTCACTTATGACTATTGAGTGGCGGTAGGTATTAGGACATAAGCACTCTATCATGAATTGGCAAAACTGAAATCTCCACCTTAGTCTATTAAGGCTGCCACGAATTGAACTGTGCCTTGAAAACAAACTACGAAGATGTCACTGTTGTGTTCTTTAAATCCTAGCATCTGAAATTTATCTGCTTTGTTGCAGCTAAGACAATTTTTATGTGGAGAGCATTAAAATCCGAAAAAACAACGCACAGAAAATTAGGTTCCAAATTTAACCATTCAAAGCTTTTCGATATATGCTACATGTACCTTAGAACCTTATAGAATACCGAATCAAACCGTCAAGCAGTTGTCTCTACATGGTGATACGACCTAAAAGCTGCTCTAGTATGCAATATGTTTCTCAACGCAATCAGATTGGACTTGAAATGGCTCAGTCACACAAGCATCTCTCATCTACAAGAAAACAGTACGTTTAATACAGTTATCACCGCCCTTACATAGGCAATCTTGGCGTATATAGACAATAGTATTGGGTACCGTTGACATCCGATCATGTCGGCACATCATTCTACCTAAGTCCAGGTGTTTACATATGTTACTTCTCCCCGGATAAATCCTTTATTACATTATGTCCGAGAACATGGTGGTAATACTGCCAACTGCGAGATTCCCAACACGTATATTTCAAAAATATCCTAAACCCGAAATAAATCGTTGGGTTTCAAGCGTTGGTTCGTCTATTAGACGCTAACAACATCGATAAGCACTATTTCATCGTGCGTTAGTGTCTACTATCATTCCTATTCAAGAGTTATTATCGTATGGAACGTCCTTAAAACCTTGATGCCTTCCTTAAATTATGTAGCCCATTGCCCCCTACACTATGTGGAGAATTTAAACCCGAATGCTTACGTCTATTCCTACACTACTAAATCGTCTATTGTTAACTCAAGGCTATCCCTTTTCGGAATATTCAATACTGTTGTACCACCAATGACCCTAATCGGTGTTTAGAACTTATCGGTCATAAGTCAACTTAACTGCGAATTATTACCAAAGATAATCAGCGAAGCGAAGAGGATCAATTGAAATCATGGCCCAAGCAAGAACTACGAATGTGGGGTTCAGGTAAAATATGAGAATTGCTTTTCAATAAGCGAAGTTGAAAGTAATATAAAAAGGATTGATATTCTCCAGATGATGGGTATTTAATTATTCTCTATTATACAAACTTGTAAAAATTAAATTATCAAAATGTCCATTCCAAAAACTCAAAAAGCCGTTATCTTCGAAACCTCTGGTGGTGAATTAAAATACACTGATATTCCAGTTCCAAAGCCAAAGTCGAATGAAATTTTAATCAATGTTAAGTACTCCGGTGTCTGTCACACTGATCTTCATGCATGGAAAGGAGACTGGCCTTTACCAACTAAATTGCCATTGGTAGGTGGTCACGAAGGTGCAGGTGAAGTTGTTGCTATTGGAGAAAATGTCCAAGGATGGGAAATTGGTGATTTGGCTGGTATCAAGTGGATCAATGGTACCTGTTTGAATTGTGAATTCTGTCAAAAATCCTTTGAATCCAACTGTGCCAAAGCTGACTTGTCTGGTTACACTCATGATGGTTCTTTCCAACAGTACGCCACTGCCGATGCTGTTCAAGCTGCTAGAATTCCAAAGGGAACCGATTTAGCCAATGTTTCTCCAATTTTATGTGCTGGTATCACAGTTTACAAGGCTTTAAAGACCTCCGGTGCAAAGCCAGGTCAATGGGTTGCAGTTTCTGGTGCAGCTGGTGGTTTAGGTTCTTTAGCTATTCAATACGCTAAGGCTATGGGTTTAAGAGTTTTAGCAATTGATGGTGGTGATAAGGAAGAGTTCGTCAAGTCTTTAGGTGCTGAATCCTATATTGATTTTACCAAGAGTAAGGATGTTGTCAAGGATGTTCAGGAAACTACTGATGGAGGTCCTCACGGTGTTATCAATGTTTCTGTTTCAATTAAAGCTATTAACCAATCTACCGAATATGTTAGATCTTGTGGTACTGTTGTCTTAGTTGGTTTACCACATGCTAACCTTGAAACCAGTATTTTCAATGCTGTTGTTAAATGTGTTTCTATCAAAGGTTCTTATGTCGGTAACAGAGCAGATTCTGCTGAAGCAATTGAATTCTTCTCCAGAGGACTTATCAAATGTCCAATTAAGATTGTTGGTTTATCCGAATTAGCCAACATCTATAAATTAATGGAAGAAGGAAAGATTACAGGTAGATACGTTGTTGATACTTCTAAATAATTTCTTAAATAGGTATTAAGAGTGTTTGACACATTCTTTGAAACTTAAAAAATATATGTTTTCTATTTAAAGCCTTGATTTATTGTAAGTATTGAAATTTGCCATATTTCGCTTACACCAATCATCTATTGCATAAATCACTATTATGCTAAAGATAAAAGGGTTTTACGGCTCTTGCATAATAGAATCGTGCATGCCTTATCTACAAACTATTCAATAACTCAAAATATTATTATAAATATATAAATATAAAAATATAACCTTAATCAATACTTTATTTAGAAAGCTCTGTTTAATGGAGATAATAATGGCTTACCCTTGTAGAATTGGATAGTCTTGACAGCTCTATCAGCGACACCTTCTGGGGTAAATTCGAAGAATTTGTAAATATCTGGACCCTTACCGGAAGCACCGAATCTGTTCAAACCAAATTGTTCGTGAGAGTATTTAGACCATCCGAATGAAGACATAACTTCAACGGACATAATTGGAACACCATCTGGTAAAACAGATAAACGGTAATCTAATGGTTGCTTGTCGAAAGTTAAGAAATCTGGGAGCGATACAACACCGGCCTTGAAACCTTCTGATTCTAATTTCTTAGCAGCATCGACAGAAATCGAGACTTCTGAACCAGAAGCAATAATGATGACATCAGGCTTATCTTGCTTGACTAAAGTGTAACCACCCTTGGCAGCGTTTTCAATAGTTGAACCTTCTAATTGAGGTAAGTTTTGTCTGGTTAAGGCAATAACTGATGGAGTAGAAGTAGATTCAATAGCCTTTAAGTAAGCAGCAGAAGTTTCATTACCATCGGCTGGTCTCCAGACAGATAAGTTTGGAATAGCTCTTAAGTGAGCTAAAGTTTCGATAGGTTGATGGGTTGGACCATCTTCACCTAAACCGATGGAGTCATGAGTAGCAACCCAGATAACTGGATGGTGAGATAAAGCAGATAATCTGACTGCACCAGCAGCATAAGAAACGAAATTTAAGAAAGTACCACCGTAGTTTTTGTAGTTAGCACCGAATGCAGCAATACCGTTCATGATAGCACCCATACCGTGTTCTCTAACACCGTATCTGATGTATCTACCTGAGTAGTCACCTAAGCCAGTGGAAGGAGGTTGGAAGTCAACTGAGTCAGCGGCTCTGGTCAAGTTAGAACCAGTCAAATCAGCAGAACCACCAATAATTTCAGGAACAACTGGTAAGATCTTGGATAAAACAGTTTCGGATAACTTTCTGGTGGCAACAGCACTGTCAGATGGAGAGTATGTTGGTAAAGCATCAGCCCAGTTTTCTGGTAACTTACCGTCAAGACGACGTTGCAATTCAGCACCTAATTCTGGGTATTTTTGCTTGTATGATTCAAATAACTTCTTCCAGTCTTCTTGGATCTTTTGGTTTTGTTCAACGTGCTTGTTGTAGTAGTCGGTAACTTCCTTTGGAATAACGAAAGTTTCTTCTGTGTTGAAACCGAATTTTTCCTTCAATTGCTTGATATCATCAGCCTTCAATGGAGCACCGTGAACACCATGAGTACCTTGTTGTAAAGAACCGAAACCAATGGTGGTGGTTAATCTGACTAAGGTTGGCTTGTCTTCGACCTTCTTAGCTTCTTCAATAGCCTTGGCAATGGCATCTAAGTCAGTGTCACCCTTAGCGATTTCAATTATGTGCCATCCGTAAGCCTTGAATCTGAGTACAACATCTTCAGTGAAAGCAACGTTAGTGTCACCGTCAATAGAGATATGGTTGTCATCCCAGAAAGCAATCAAGTTACCTAATTGCAAGTGACCGGCTAATGAACAAGCTTCAGAAGCAACACCTTCCATCAAACAACCGTCACCTAAGAAACTGTAAGTGTAACTGTCAGAGATCTTGTGGTCTGGCTTGTTGTAGGTAGCAGCAAATTGCTTTTGGGCCAAAGCTAAACCAACAGCGTTGGAAATACCTTGACCTAATGGACCGGTGGTCACTTCAACACCTGGAACATCCAAAGCTTCTGGGTGACCTGGGGTCTTGGAGTTTAATTGTCTGAATTGCTTCAAGTCTTCAACAGTCAAGTCGTAACCGTATAAGACCAATAAGGAGTATAATAAAGCACAAGCATGACCGTTGGATAAGACGAATCTATCTCTGTTAATCCAGTTAGTGTCCTTTGGATTGAACTTCATTTCTTGCCACACTGCGTGGGCTGCTGGAGCTAAACCTAATGGAGCACCAGGGTGACCAGAGTTGGCCAGAGCAACTGCATCTACCGATAACAAACGGATAGTACTAATAGCTAATTGATCAAGATCTTGGGACATTGTATCGGAAATATAATCTATTAATACCTAATTTATAATAATTAATACTAATATATAGATAAACTACAATTTTTCGAAATTTCGTCCGAAAAGATATTGGCTCATTTAAATAAGTTGGCTATTATGTAACCATTAGAAATCATACAAAATCAATGCTGAGGGTAACGTTGGGTACATACATACTTGTGATCCAATTTCCATGAACAATCATAGGCAGGAAAAGCAATTCAACCGGATTTTGTTCAACATAATTCCGAAAATAAACGAATTACGTGGATCAAATGCACGATTTGTACTAAAACAAAGAACGAAATATTCGGTCGACCGGTACCGGTACATTGCAGCAGCACACCTATGTAGTCTTTATTGAATCCCGTAGCTCAGGCTTCACCAAGGTTCATGATGGTGGTTCAGATCAGCTAGGGGTATAAATTTCGGAAATTTTCATTTGGGCAGCCATGCAGCCAGAAAATTGTCAATTGGTGCTGGAAATATATTTCTGCGATGTAGGTGAGTAGTATGTAAATAGTATATGGAGGGTAGTGAGCCGGACGGTTGTGAAGACTTCTTGTTGAGGACTATTCGGATAAGAACACTCCGGTGCGCAAAAAATCGTTAAACGGCTTACACATAGCTAGCGAGCACAAACCGACCATCTAGGGATCTTTAAAAGGCCCGGAATCTTCGAATTCGACGTCCAAGATAAAAGAACCGGCGGACGTGTTCGTGGGGGAGTCTACACCGTTAACAGGATGGTGGGAGGGTCCGGTGGGTCTGCCCAATTGGGACAACTCGAAGGCTTCACGGTTGGTGTCCTCGGTGGTGGAGGAGGTGGCATTGGGTCCGCCCGTGATGTCAAGAAGCACTTCACGACTCTGGGGTATGGAGTCGGCCGGTCTTTTCACACTAGTAGCCCTGGTGATCTCACCAATGTCTGAATCGACATCTGAATCTGAATCAGCGTCGTCGTTACCATTTACATTAATATATTCAAGTTCTTCGGACGAAATGTCTACAGGGTTTTCTTGAGGGATTGATGTTTGAGAATCTCGTATGTTCATAGTATTTGTAGCGTTGTTTTGGGCCTCATATGCCACCAGTGAATCGTCATACGTTTCCCCATATGTGTCCCCATACGTATCGTCCTCTTCATCCGTAATATCGTCTTCATCTTCTTCTTCAATTCTGTCTACATTGATCAATTTGGGTTGGGCCTTGATAGCGGTCATGGTACTGTCCTTGTTTGTAGATCCGTTGGCATTTGTGTCATGCCCAGCATTTGCGTCCTGGAGCTGGTTGGCTCTCATAACGTCTCCAATTATGGAGGCATTTTCGATAGTATTCAAGTCTGAGAACACAGACTCGGTCTCATACGAATATATCGATCTAGTATTGTTCTTGGTGGGCCTCACGGTAACCCCCGGTATGTATGCAATTGGCAAAATGTTCGATGCGTTGGTAGTGGACATTGTCGTGGCCACAGAATGTCTGCTAGAATTAGTATCCAGATAAGCACCGACCCTAGTCCTCATCCTAGTACCTCCGCGACCTCCACCCCGTCTGGAATTCTTGTTATATCTCGCCTTAGGTCTGGTGAACGATTCGTACGACGATATTCTCTTATTGGCAGCAGCTGACCTAGTTCCTGTCTTCTCCAGACCACTTCCATTTCTCATTACACCCCCTACAGGACCCATATTGGGGTCCCCTTGGTAACTATCGAGATTACTGATAGTATAATCACTCTTACGGTCGCTCTCAGATTCGATTCCACTCATCAATATATCGTCATCTTCCTCTAGCAATACGGGATGTCTCTTTCTGTACACAAACTTATAGTACAAAATTCCTGCCACTAGCAGTAACAAGACGAATCCTCCGATCGCACCCCCAATGATACCTCCAACCGGCGTGGAATTAGTTGAGCCTCCATCTATTGGTGTACACTTGTAATAAGCACATTTTTTACATGTCTGGGATACCAAATAACATTCTTTTCCTGAAGCACATTTTGGGCATGAATTCTTTGGCTTTGATGGGCAATCGACACATTTATCATCTCTTTTTTCAAATATCGAATGCGGTACAACTGTCATAGCGTCTTATCTATTATCTTGAATCAACTCTTTCATATGTAATACCAAAAACTCAGCAGCTCGTATAATAACTTATTCTTTCGTAGCGTATATTTTCACTTCTTGAATATCTAAAATATAATCTAAAATACTCTAAGCTAGCCTTCTAGATCCACATACTCTTATCTAACAAAAGAGTTTTTTTAACGTGTCTGAAGATCGCAATTTATTTTTAATACACAAAATTTGTTGATCTAGATCTGATGCATCGATTTAAAGACGTTACAATTAAAATTATAATATGCTAATAATATGTAGTCTAAATAAACTAAAATACACAATGAACGATGACAAAGGCGATAATAATGCTCTAAAAAGTTTCCCTCAAATCTTGACTAAATTTATAATTCTCCTTTCTTCTGGTTAACCATGTCTTTTCGTAGTCAAAATACTTGTAGTTCTCTTCTTTGTTCCCAGAGTCATCTTGTTTATCTTGTTCGTCTTCTTCCTTTTGAATGATGGACATAGATCTATTCTTACCTCCGTTCTTGTTATCCTTTAAGAACCATTGCTTGACGTCTGTATTGAAAATCCAGCCTCTTTTGCTCAACTCCTGTGCAGCATTCCATTTTGCCAAGTTATTGATGCCCTCGCTGTAGTAAAAGCAGAAGAAAAGGGTATCGTTATCAAATTTTTTCATTATGTGGCTGGAGTTCAACTCATACATTGGTTCCTGGGGGTAGTCCACGGACGATGGATGGATGCTTGTGGGGTGGTATTGTCTTGGTTTCTCGGCATCGAATGAATCTGGACAGTTGAGCAAAGACGATTCCAACAACAGAACGATTGATTGGAATGGTAATGGATTGTGCAATCTCGACTGTGGTAAAGTTGATAGCCTATTTACTGTTTCAAAGATAGGTTTATTTACATTTGATATAGGCAGTTGCGTCTCGGACCTAGTTTCTGGTTGCGTGGATGGAATTTGCTGGGTTTGAGAAGCAATTCTCTTTTTGCTGTCGTCCGTTTGGTTTAGTTTCTGTGGTGTGCGTTGTGGTGACGATGTAGATGACTTTGCTTGGTTCAACCCAGGAGGAAGGGCTTTGGTAGCTGCTGGAGAAGACATAGATGCCTTAATAATATTGGAGTATGATTGTGCCGTGTTGAGAGGTGGAGGGTTTGCTGCTGGTACAACAGTTGGCTTTCCTTTCTTTGCGACATTATTAGCAATGGAATTTGCAGACTCGCTCGACGATTTGGTTTCAATTTTTGGTTCACTTTTGATTTCTGCCTTGGGTTTGGATTCCAATTTGGCATCTGGCTTAGATTCCGGTTTTGTTTCTGTCTTAGCCTCTGCTTTAGGTTCGGCTTTAGGTTCCTCCTTGGGTTCTTCTTTTGTTTCTGATTTGTTGTCTTCGTTATCTTCATTACCAGAACCACCCTGGATATCATTGTCGTCAGCCATTTCTAATTGTTCATAGAAATCGTCATATTCAACATAATCCTCATCTTGGTTATTTTCAACGTAGTATTCCAAATCATCTTTGATATCATCCACACGCTCAGGATCCAAGTTCTCGTTTTCTATATTTCTCAAAATTTTTTCCAATTTACTTAAATGATTATTATTTCTCTCCACATTATATTTGCAATCATCAATCGAGGACTGTACACTATAAGAGTTCACAGATTTGGTTTTCTTCAATTGAATGGTAAGCAGATGTATCTCCAGTTCCAAAGACTCATTTTGTTGGTTCAACTGATCAATTATGTCGCCAATGTAATTGCAGGCTTCCTGCTTCTTTGCGTCTTCTGGATCCGTGAATTTATTGTACTTTGTCTTCTGACTTTGTAACTCCAAACCCTCGTTCGAGAATTGTTTGATCTTAGAGGACTTCTCTAAGTCTTTGAACTGGTCCATAGCATGTTCAATTTTGGTACGATTTTCTTGTATTAAACTTTTATCTAATTTAATACTAGTATCACTAATCCATGTTTTCAATTGGTCTCTCAGTCTCTGCAACTTCTTGATTTCTTTCTTTAAGTCACTTTCCAATTTTTCCTTCTGGGAACTAATTTCAGTAGTCATTAATTTATCGTAAATATCATCGAAAACTGATAATCCTTCCGCAATTTTTTTGTTCGTTTTATCGAACTCTTGTTGTAGCTTTCTAGTACTCATTATAACCTAGTTCAATAACTCTATATATTATAATTTCTTCTATAACTACAGTATATGTAATTGATACTAACATAGGTTCTCGTTTGCCAATAAAGAATGTGATTTAATTTACGCGTGTTCTATTCTCATATTTACACATATACATGCTAACAGAGTTTGTATGATTAACTTCCAATATGTAGTTATTTTATGAGTAGCTAGTTCAATTCACCTATTTCACGTTTCAAGAACTCTTCACTGAAGTGACTTATTTGTTGAAAATTAGTTTCAAATCCATTTATACCCCCATAATAAGGATCTTGAACAACAGTATTGAACTTAGAATCAGCCTTCCATTCGCCGAAAAGAGCAACCCTGGCTTTAGATTCTCTAGGTTTCATGAACAATAAGTCTGAGAGATTTGACTGATCCATACATATAACATAATCGAATTTCTTGAAGTCCTTGGGTGTTATCTGTTGCGCCGAATGGTCTACTGGAACACCATGCTTACGACAAGTCTTCGCTGATCTGGAATCTGGAGGATCACCGACGTGGTAACCACCGGTTCCATAAGAATCTATAGTTTTGAAATAGTCTGAATAACCTAATTCCTGTACCTTATGCTTGAAAATGGCTTCTGCCATTGGTGAACGACAACTGTAGAGATTAGTACTTGTGAAAAATCTAGCAAATCGCAGAGAAACTTTTTTATACATACATGTTACCCAAGCAGACGAAGGCAACAGATATCTTCTGATCAACCTTTGTAGATGAAGGTGCCATAGTAATAATTATAATGATAGAATATTTTCTTACTTAAAAGAAATCTACATCTATCAGATCATCTTCCATCGTCGCAATCTGCACGCGAACTTTCATTTGGCTTCGCAACATGATTTTATAGTTTGAAATAATACACATAAAAATACATTGTTATTAAATAAATATTTAGACTAGCTTTACCATCTTGTAGATGAAAACATCAATATTATTGCATGCTGGCAACCATGAATTTTTGCCATTCATCAAACTCTACTGGTTCATACATATATTTGTAATCATCATCTTCAACCTTAGGCTTCTTATCGGAGAATAAGTTATCAATATCATCACTATCATCCATTTTATCATTTTCACGTTTAACACCTTTCTTAGAAAACTCTTCGACCTCAGTTAGAGCTAAATCAGCACATGTCTGGACAATGTCTGATGCTGTCAATTCCCTTATCATGTCAACTTGATTAAATGAAGTTGTAATGGCCATAGGCTTGATTTCACATGTCCATTCATTGGAGGTAATAACTGGAGATAAGGGCGACTTGGCAATTCCGGTCTTACCACCAGTCGATGAAGATGACTGTGCTGGCGTTGGAAGTCCCTGGTGGTCTCCTGCCGAGTCATCGAGGTCGAGCAAGTTAGACAATGATGCATAAAAGAATTTCTCTGAATCTGTATCAGATAATTCTCTCCTCTTGGCGAGTTTTGGATCCATTTCACTGTTATTAAATATCGTCCCCACTGTATCTTCCGTGATTTTCAAGCCTGCATTTGAAGGAGCCCTCTTCATTTGAGAGCTCGGCGATTGTTGTTCAGCTGGTGTGTTCTTATTGCTCTGTGTTGCAGGAATTTGTGGCGTTGGAATACTGTTTGGAGTCTTAATAGAATTTGCAAGAGCTGCTGGAGTTGTTGCATTATTAGCTGGAGTTGGAATTCCCCCAACCGATGAAATGCTTTTATTAACAGACTTCTTTCTACCTGTTCCGGTTGATCCTGGTGTAGCACCTGAAACTGATTTCTTATTTTGTGCCCTTCCCACTTGTTTAGGAGGAGCGGTGTTTAAATTAGGAGCTGGAGATTGAAATGGATGCATTTGCTTTGGTATGATTGGAGAAACAGAATTAGGAATCATTGGACTACTTCCAATGTTGTTTCTCTGTTGCATTGGTGGTGCAACATTCGGCCATGAGTTAACTGGGCCAATATTCATTAGCGGTTGACCATTTTGTTGCTGAGGCATACCTTGTACCTGTTGTTGAGGTATTTGATTTGAAATTGGACCATTTCTTTGTTGATTATTAAGAAACTGTTGCTGTTGTTGTGGAGGTTGTCCTTGAAGCTGCTGACTTTGCATACGCTGTTTCCTAATCGCAAATTGTTCTTTTACGTACTCGAAATATTTTTGATATTGAGACCTCAACTTTTCCAATAAGTCTGGTGCCGCCAAATAAATGCCTCGCTGCACATTTTCAATAATATTCTTAGTCATATACTTCATTTGAATTAATCTTTTGGTTCCTTCAACATTTCTCGTAATAATGTAAAAATAACTTATAATGCTATCCACATTTGCATACTGTTGAGAGATTCTAACAACAGTATCACGTACTGCATTCTTATCCTGTTGGGACAATAACATAGTAACATCCTTCAAAGCTACATTGTTCCTTGAAACTTCCTCAATCAATTGTCTCAACTGTAACTTCATTTCATCTGTTAATGGAGGTAAAAGAGCAGATAACGAACCCATTGCCGCCTGCTTCTTTGTAACATCGTTAGGATTGTTGTTGTTCATAGGCATCCCAGGGGTATTTGCAGCTCTTTGTTGCATCATTGGCGAGCTCTGATTATTCATTTGTGTGTGTGGCATAGGTTGTTGATTACCCATTTGCATATTATTTATCATTGGCAGTTGTTGAGAAAGAGGAGCCAGTGGTTGAGGTTGCTGTTGGGGCTGCATAGGCATATTATTAACTCCAGCCTGCTGTTGAAGTCTTCTTTGAACTTGAGCTTGATTAACTGCACTACCTGCATTGGCTGCATTTGGCACATTCGTCATATTATTGGACATTTGACCTTGTTTCCACATAGTAGTTTTCTGATGGTGAATATATTTACGTATAAAGCTCTCTTTTTGTGATTGATCGAGGTTTGGTTGAATAGAGCCATTTGATTGCAATCTAGTTAACAACCTCATAGCATCAGAACTATATTTCAAAATGTCATCAGGAGTAATAGTGAAATTGGGTGGTTTACCTTGTTGCGGATTTTGAGGTGAAGTTTGCAGCATTTGCGGCTTTTGCTGTTGTTGAGACGGCTGAGGTGGTTGTTGTGGTTGTTGTGGTTGTTGTGGTTGAGGTGGTACTTGACCTTGTTGCGGCATTAATGGATTTTGACCTGACAAAGCATTTCTTTGTTGCATTTGTCTTCTCAACAATTGCTGCTTCTGTTGTGGATTCAAATTGTTCATGTTAAAGTTACCAGAATTCATTACCGGGGTATTACTATTAGAATTATTTATAGCACCTGCCATGTTATTCATAGCCTGAGGTTGCTGTTGTTGTGGTAATTGAGGTTGTGGTTGTTGTTGTTGATTCATTCTTTGGCTCTGCATCTGATTGATCTTTTGTTGCTGATGCTGACGCAATGTTAACTGAAGATGCGTATTATGTATTTCCTTTATAACAGGCATTGCTGCTTGTGGAATAATCTTTTTCTGGAAGCAATCAAAAATCTGTGTCCATGTATTCACGTTTGGAGGTAAGTTTGGAATTTTGGATAATAATGCTTGAGGAATTGGCGCATTTCTTATCATGTTACTAATTTGGTGAAGCTGTTGTTGATTAGGCTGTAAATTTTGTTGCGGTTGTGGTTGCTGTGGTTGTTGTGGTTGCTGCTGCTGTTGTTGCTGTTGCATATGATGGACAGGTTGTGATTGTGAAGGAGGTTGGTTCGAAATACTATTATTTCTCAATTGTGCTTGGATTTGTGCTGCAGATTGTTGCCTGGCTTGTGCTTGTTGCTGTAAGAAATTCATGTTTTGGGGTCTCATGTTGTTCTGTGAGTTGATACTGTTTTGTGAATTCATATTTGGCTGTTGCATACCCATTCCTTGGCCCATGTTTTGCCCCATATTTTGGTTCATCACCGAATTATTTCCTCCCATGTTATTCCCATTTGCCGGGTTTCTAATCCCTCCTCTAAGTTGTGTCACCTTCTGTTTGATTAACCGAAGGTATTCATCTCTGCTCTGCGATTTCATAAATGTAAACTTTTCAAACTCCTGCGCCATGTTAGCCGCTTTTTGAGCGTCATAATTTCCATTCTGAAGCTCTTTCAAAGTCCCACTAAGAATCTGAACTACCTTCTGTCTATCAGTGACGGAATACATCGCATGCCACGAGTTAGTATTACCTGGCTGTTGCTGTAGGTTATTCATATTTTGCTTTGTCGATTAATTATCCTATGTATTTCTCGGTCCTAATTATTAATTCTGCGGTAATGACACCACCGTTCCTATTAAGTTAAGAGTAAAACTGCACTATTCTATGGTGTTTCAAATCAATTCTTATCAATTATATTAGATTTATTCAAGCCTCTATGTCAACTATAACGATTATCGCCGTAATAAGGGCTGTTTCCACTCTACCGACAAGAAAAATTGATATGAGAAATCAATAAAAAAATTCCACCATTTTCGTTACATAAAATGATTGCGAACAAGAAAAATTCCCCTCCACCATAATGAAATTCTACTTTTTTACAAATTACATAGGCTAGCGATATAAACTGTGGAATGAGCTCATTTTTACATATATAAAAGTACATCGTTAAAGGTATGTATCTACACTAATTAAATAAGTATTTGTATAAAAATCATTCCACCAGTGGATTGAGTACTCCTTGTACTCATCCGAGTTCTCGTATTTCGTTGCATCATTAGACAGTAAATTTATGCATATATGACCGAAATATCGATCTTGACCTTAATTAGTTAATGAAAATTGCTTTTATATATTAAATCTATAATACAGAACTATATAGTTTTAATGGATTATATAGTTGTAAAGGATCTCTTAATCGCCTTTTTGTCTTCGTATTCCCTTTGCTCGGCCTCGTCAATAAATTCCGATTCGTGAGTAAGTTTCCATTGTTGTTTTGCAAACTTCAAACCTTGTATGTTATATCCGAGTTGGTTTGAGGTTTTAGATAATTCTTCACGAAGCTGTTTCTTAACGGTTGCAAGCTGGTTTTTGAGCTCGGGGCTCTTTTGGTGAATAAATTCTTTTGCATTGGATCTGATGACGAAGAACAATATTTTACAGATGAGCGAGATATTGACAACATTGTTGGTGACATTTTGCTTGTTGGTCCAGATTTCGATGAATTTCAACAATTTCAATGAGTAAGAAAATGGAAGGACTAGTAATGCGTCGTCCAACTGAGCCGGTCTAATTTTAGTCACAGTATTTAAGACATGCTCTTGGCCATTAATACCTAAAGCCATCAAAATTGGGTTTGGAGTAGGCTTGACTGGTGGAGCGGCACTTTTCTTGGCTTGGAAATTTTTCAAGTGCAACTCGTAGTCTTCGGTCGCCAAAACATCTTCGGTACCGATATCTAATGCCTCCATTAACTTTTCACCAGCTTTCAAAGTTTCCATAGTTTGTTTGGTAACTTTTGATACTTCTTCTCCATCATCTTTTCCTTCTCCTTCTTCCTCGTTGTTATTATAGGTTGGATCTTCTTCCAACGATTCTAACAACGTATTCTCATAAAGCTCGTCCATTTCCTTCTCTCTTTCTTCTTCCAAGAAAACCTGGTCATCGGTAGCAAGCCATAATCTAATCGAATGATCATGGGAAGTTGAAATCATAAATCTTCCGTCATTACTAAGAGCTAAACACCAAACTTCAGATTGATGCGCTGGTAACTTCTGAATACATTCGAATTTATCACCGTCCCAATATTTGATAAGACCATCTTTACCAGAGGAGAAAAAGTTGTGACTATCTGGAATGAACTTAACATTCATAATCGAATCCTGGTGACCAAAAATAGATTTATGACAATCACCAAAGTCCAAACCCCAAATCTTAATGTTCTTATCGGCAGATGAAGTTATGATAAGCTTGGAATCGTCAGAAATATCAATTGACAAAACAGGTAATTTATGACCATATAGCGTTAAGAATAGCTTTAACGAATCAAGAAAAACAACTTGCACATTATTGTTCAATAAGGAAACAGCTAAAAATCTTGAATCTGGTGAAATTCTTACACATAAAACATCTTCATTTAATTCCAAAGTTTGGTTGTGTACAAATTTTAATTTTAATATAGCAGAATTGGAACCTGGAATCATTTCTTGTTCAACTTTGAAATTCCAAAACTTAACAGATTTGTCATTACCACCGGTAACTAATGTTTTACCATCTGGCGTTAAATCCAACGACCATATGGCCGATCCGTTTTCATCATCAATAGCTGACTTTGAATCATGAGCTTTTTCGATTTTATCAACTAAGGAAGATGTAGCTAAATCATATAATTCTAAATCACCATTTTTAAAACCAATTGCAATCAAAGTTCCCCCTGGCAAAAACTTACAACACAAAGCGTAACCCCCCTCTAATGCAAATGTACGAATAACATTCTGGGTCTTAATATTCCAAATCTTTAATTCCCCATTCGATGCAGTAGCCAATAATTTATTATCGGAAGCAATATCCATTGCTCTTATATCAGTTCTATGACCTAATAAATCAATCGAATGCTGTTTCACAGAATGTATGTCAGATGGTTGAGTTTTCTTTATCAGTTCGGGAATTGGGATGTTATGATATTCAATAGAGTTATTAGTCAAAGAAAGAAGTATATCCAACTTCTTACTACTTTTACCATTATCAACCCATGTACATGACTTCACCTTAGAAACGGTTCTTAAAGTAGTGAAAGGTGTGATCATCATACTTATTTCAGATTCTTTTAATGATTGCAAAATTTCCTCTTCCTCGTAACCCTTTTCTTTAAGTCTCTTTGTCCTCTTCGTAATACCTTTCTTTATTTCATCCGAAGACCTTACTCTAAATATTTCCACTGTTCTGTCAGCATTCTGCAAATAAAATAAGTCTGTTATGTTAGTGCTAGATGTTTTTAACTTTTGAAATTGAATATCAGTACATCTAGCCTTACTTTGCTTCTCAAATAATCCTTTTTCAATTAATTTTTGAGTATCTGGTTGAGAAAGATCAATTTCCCATACCTTAACTTGATCCTTGTTACCTGTGGTTATGGCTACATTATTTGAAGTATTCATTCCTAAAGACCAGCATTCGTTGGAATGAGCTAAATGAGTTTCCACACATTGCTGTGTCTTTACTTCCCATAATTTAATCAACCCGTCCTTAGAAACACTCAATAAATAATCTTCAAGCTCATCTGATTCTTTTGATTCTGGTTTCTCTGTAAGAAAGTTTAAACCTGTGATTTGACTTTTGTGGCCCTTTAATTTGAATAACCCTTCTTCTCCCACTAAGTCCCATAAAATAATGGTGGCATCATTCGATCCTGACAACAATCTGGTACCACTTCTGTCAAATTTTAAAATACTGATTGAAGACTTGTGACCTTGGAAGCTGATTAATTCTGAACCGGATGTCAAATCCCATATCTTGATCGATCCATCTAAATAACCTGCACCGACAATATTTGTGTCTGCATGGTATGCCAAATATGATACGGGTGATGGTGCTTGAGCTGTTGGAGCATTTGAAGCACCTGGTGTTAAGCCATCTCTCAATCTGTTGATTATTTCACCAGTTTTAATATCCCAGACTAATATCTCTTCCAATCCCGATGAAATAGCTCTTCCAATGCTCTTTGATGATTGATTCAGAGTAGGAGGAAGATATACAATGTTGGATTGTGACGCAATTACACCAAAACATTTTTCTTGTTCATAACGATCATATGACTTGACCATCTTTAACCTATCCTTAAGTCTTTATTACGTATATTGACGAGTGTAATCTGGTTTAAACTGAACTTCATCATCTTATAAGTGAACTAAAAAAAATTAAAATTTTGCGATGGGTGTAATGAGTGTGATTTATCACGTGAACTACTTTCAACGGCTGCAAAATTATACATTACTACTATCCACTAGCTTCAACCAAAGAATACAGAATATTGGAACATAAACCATATAACAGTATTTATTGGATTGAAAAGGATACGTATGATTGATTTTCTCTTTATTTTGAATTTTTCCAAAATTATGGTGGGAAAAAATATGTATGCTTCGTTTACAGATGCTCATGATTAATATTAGATCATGTTCTTGTATAAGGAAAGCTGCTTGTATATTCTCATTATACTGACAATCTACATTGAATACTTGTGGGATTTTTTTAACGTTACTTTGAGTTAAGATTTATATGATTTTTAAATTTTCAACCAAAAGGTACGAAAAACTACAAAAATTATAAATATAAGAACATATAAATATAAACAATAAAAGCAACTTGATTAACTTTGGTATTATAAACAGTCTTAACTATGTAAAATGGTAGTTCAAGAAGTGAAATAAATAAATCATACTAGAAGGGAAAACGTCATAATAAATGAAATGAAGAATGCAAGAGGCAAAGGAATATATAATGCACTACCATCGCTACCCTTGCCACCAGAACTGCTACCTGAGGTTGAACTACTCTTTGAGCTTGAGCTACTCTTCGATGTGGAACTACTCTTAGAAGTAGAAGAAGAGCTACTGACACTTGATGAAGCTGCAGCTTTTTCGCCACCCATCCAACAATATTCGTCAAAACACTTCTTGCATTCAGAAGATTGTTCTTGTCCTAATCTTTCTTGAGACCTTCTTATTATTGCACATCCAACACATTTAGCCCAGTCACTATCATCAGTGAGATTTTTACTAGTCGAAACTTCAAAACCATTTCTGATAATACTCATCTTTTCATCTTCCTCGTACGACATCTTATAAGTCGAAGTATTTGAGTTATAGCTCGATCTGTAATTTGGCATATATACAATTAACGGAACATCAGTTTCATTAATGTCTGAATTTTTATGGAAATCAAGTAATGAGGTTAAATTCCCAGCATCGCAGCCAAAAAAGACAGGCAGCTTGTTAAGTTCATCATCCACAAACTCCTTCTCAGAAGGAACATATGGGAATGGTGTTCCCTTACCTTGCTTTGAGAATTGCCTTCGGTATGTATGGACCAATGAAGTACCATTAGGCCAGTTGGAATCGGTATCTGCTGAATTATCATAAGCAAAAATAATATCAACATCACGGGCAGTTTGAATAAGAGGATATAATGGAATATTTTGTTGATCTTCACCGCCATCAACCAAGAAGAGAGTATTATTCTTGGCGATTGAATTGTAGGTACCAAAATCGTTTTCATAAAATGGGTTCGGCTCATAAGCCGCAATATCATCCTCTGCATAACTTAATCTACCTAAAATACGTGTAATAATCGACTTAATTGCCTTATTCAAGCTTGTATTAGAAACTCTCAAAATGGCTTGATTGAAAAGAGTTGAAGACGTACCCATGATAAAGCCACCATTATCGAAATTAACAACACACTTTGAGGTATTCGCTTCATTACTTTCTATAGAAGAACCCAAATATTTCACATCAACAAAACTTTGAACTGAAGGATCCCATGATCCTAGCTCGTAAGGATTAATTTCAAAGACGGACGAATTGGAATCCATTATAAATGTTCCAGGCGTTCTTCCATCAGCTACCACTATTGGAAATGGCATTTCATGGTCGGAGAACTTTGACATGTCTCTGATGCTAGACCAGGTGACATTTTCTCCACCTTTTTCGTCAGCAAAAAACTGATGTGATAAGGCCCTACCCCAAAGATCCGTGATAGAAGTATCAAAACCTGCATCCTGTTTCGCATCAATCGAAGTCCTTATATTATTATAGTATTTAACAGTTTTGACAAGATTGATTCCACTAGGGTTGAAAATTGAATCTTCCAAGTCCCAAATATTGATATCACCTTCAATAATATCTGCGACGGAAATCCAATTGTTTAAAACTAACGACCCAACAAGCCAATTACCACCAGATAAACCGGTCAAGTAGGTCGCACTCTGTAACAATCCACCAAGACCATTTTCCTTTGCCTCATCATATCTATCATCGAGCCCCAAGATTTGACCTGCTCCGTTCAACATCGCACGATAGCCTCCCCCACTAAATGCAAGACCGATAGAAATGTTGTGTTCGTCAGAATAATCGTTAATGAATTTTTTCGCATCAAAGTCAGATAAGTTTGCCCTTTTTGACAAGAAATCAATCAAGTTTTTGTTAGTAGTCTCCTGTCTATTAGATATATAGTCCTTTTCATGCGTGGATATATTTTTGGCTTCTCTCGATAAGTCTGAAGATGGACACGATGTTTCATACGGAGCATAGCTTTCTTTCTTACTATCGCTTTCACTGCTCGAACTAGCGTCACTGCTCGAACTAGCGTCACTGCTCGAACTGCTATCACTGCTGGAACTGGAATCACTATTATCTTGCCATGGCCAGGTTATACCGCCTGTAGATGTGCTTGAAGAGCTACTTCCACTACTAGAGCTGGTAGCACTGCTGCTGCTGCTGCTACTACTATCATTTTCCCACGGCCAGGTTATGGCCTTAACATACGAGCACAAACATAAGACCACTACGAGATAGCTGTACCAATTCAAATTGGCCGATCTCTTAGGATTCAATAAATGCATTTATTTGACAATAAAAACAATAGTCACTCTTCCTTCAGGGTTCAACAAGGTATCGGTTAACAAGAAATACTCTATTATATGAATGATACTAAATTCCTATTTATTAATTGTGCTTCACACTACACACTATTTATATTTATGGAAATAATTACTGGAAGGAGAAATTATATGTATAGAATACAGTAGTAATCAATTGCACAAGGCAAAAGTAGTTTTTCACATGCAAACGGGGAAAAATTTCACCCCCAAGTATGATTTAACCGTTGTGTATGAATGAACCTAGATCAGCCGGTTAGTTTATTTTTCTTGTTCCCTTAACCACAATTGGAATCATTCCACCCGTGGAGATGGTGAAATTTCTATGACCCAAGACCATGATAAAAGCTCTAATAGTTCCAGCATGTGAAGTAGTAGAGATAACAGAGTTTTGTAGTTTCAATTTCTTGTTGGTAATCTTGGTTTCTGGGTCGCAGTCTTCATTGAAGAGGCCCTGCAAGAAACCGTTTACACGAATGGCTTGTTCGTGCAATTGTTCTCTTGTATCACGCTCGAACAATTCGTCTTCTTCGGTGAGCAGGTCTTCTATGATGAAACCATACTTTTCGAATCTTTTACGAATTATGGACTTGGAGGATCTCTTATCGCACAAGTTGATACCTATGGTTTCACGGATAGATTCGGTGACCAAGGGACGGGTTTCCTGTGGTTTGATGTCATTCCAGGTATAGGCAAGGGTATAGCTTGATCTCTGGAGCGGGGAGACGTAAAATTTGGCTGGAATCGGGGCTCCTTGCGCAATTTGGTCCTTCCAGGCTTGATTATTCTCTTTGGCTTGGTTGACACCTAATTCTGTCAACACTGCATCTGGCGCCCACACAATTTCACCATCAGTAGACATTGCATGCCACTTCCTATGCCATTCACTCATCCCGTATTTTTCCACACATACGTTGTGAAAGCCTTGTCCATGTCTAGCTAAAAACAAGAGCTTGTAGCATTCATTTTCTCCAGCTTCCTGATTTAACCTTTCCAATTCTTCCATAATTTCATTCCAGGGTTTGGTCCTTCCAAAGTCTTCGGTTGCATAATTAAATCTCAAGTCATCAGTGCTTGCTTCAGATTGTTTAAAGAATCCATTTACTGTTTCAAAAGTCCATGAATATAAAAGGTTATCGTTGGAATCCCTCTCATTCGATAATTGTGAGAGTTTTTCTTCATAATTTGCCCTTTCTGAGGTTTGTCCATGAGCATCATCGTAGTCAGTGATAGTTGGGATT